ATACTTCGTTGCACATATCTTCAAGTCAACGACAGGAAACAAGTCCGGTGTGGCTTTTTTGATGTCGAGCCTTCGGTTTTATCTTACGGTTTTATACCTGGATGTTACTTCCCGCATAGTGCCTTTGGGTCAGTTACAATGGTTCCATCCTGACACGTATTTGCATCGTGCATTTATTACATTTTGAGATTATTTTTCTTAGCGAGATCATCTTGATTTAGATTTGTCTGGCATTTTGTTTCAAGTATTTATTATACTGTGAATAAATAGTTATTGGGTTAAGATATGTAAAGATATGCTATGAGATACCTCACGTACTATAATTTTCTGTGATTCCGATTACATATTTGATATTAATTTATTATGTGCATTAAAATGTTGAAGATAAATGTGCACTGCAAAGATAACTATTGCATTACTTTGAATATTGCATTTCTTTCTACGAAATCGATCTTCTCCACAGTAGTGCAAAACGAATGACTTGTACTTGTCACTCCTTCGAGAAATATATAATTATGAGATTTATGTAAATCCAGAAATCACGTTTCTTGCTAAATTTCAATTGAAATGCCACAATTAGTTTACATAATGAGGAACAAACGTATGGTGACAACAGAATCGAAAAAAGTATGGCATTTTCGTAAAATAAACTTTGAAAATATTTTGGCTTGGTGCCTTATACAAAAAAAGTTGTACTCTAAGGGAAACTTAAACATTTATAACCATATCATTTGGGTGGGTGTACATTGTTATACTTGAAACAGCACATTTCATTGAATTTGGCCGACTCCTTATATGCGTTAAAGTTCTTTTCCGTGACAGAAATTGAGTCAAATGCATAAAAGTTCTGTTTTTCCATCAGGACTGAGTCAAAAGCGTTCTCTCTATTTAGAAGAAATTATGAATATTTCTGAAGACTGGGAAGCCACACCGATAAATTTATTTGGCCAAGAACGACATAAGCCACTCAACAGAAAGTCACATATTAATAGTTAAACATAAAATAATTCCGAAAAATAGATAGTATGAAATCGTTCTGTAATGTTATTGTGAAACTGATAAGCAAATACGAGCCCTGTCTCAGTGAAGTTGGCCTAACTTTCAAACTACGTTTTATATGAAATTTGTCATATTAACGGAAACGTATTAAAAACTAAAATTTATTTCGCATAACATACGATATTTTTTTATTTCATTTATCTGAATTTCATTATATTTTTTTTTTTTTTTTATTTATTTAACCGCATCGACCTACTGGCCATTAGCGGCGATGGTTATAGTGTCACAGTTTGTACAATAAGTTATTTTGTTTCAAGAAGCGAAGTAAGTTGTATACGTTACAATTTGGTCCTAAGATGTTTTCTAGAGTTAAGGATAAAATGTTACAGTCAACTCTATAAAAGTCTAGTAAAGGGCACTGCACCAGTATATGTTTAACACTCAGTGTCACTTCACATATTTCACACATAGGTTCTGCTCCTTGGGTGATGAGGTATTCATGTGTAGCTCTGGTATGTCCTAGACGGAGTCGGGTGATCAGGGTTTGATGTCTTCTGTTTGTTGTCACTGTAGTCCATGGTCCTAATTTAGGTTTCAGTTCGAGTAGCTTCGATGGATGGTTTTGCCAGTTGATATTCCAGTTTTCAATGAATTTATTTCTCAGAAAGACCTTGATGTCTGAAGCTGGAATGGTTACGTGTGATGCATCATTAAGGTTTCCTGCAATTTTTGCGTATTTGTCGGCTTTTTCGTTGCCTTTGATTCCTACGTGGGAAGGCGCCCATATGAAGACTATATTGCTATTCTCCAACTGCAATGCATATAGAATTTCTTTAATTTGATGTGTCAGATGATTGTTTGTGTATATCTTTTCGATAAGCAAAAGGGAGTTGAGCGAATCCGTTATAATCAACGATTTTTGAATGTGCTTATCTCTTATAAGTTTTATTGCTTCTAGTAGTCCGTGCAATTCTCCTGTTAGAATTGTAGCTGCGTCTGGTAGTTTCATTGTTAGGGTGTTGCTAGTTGTCACAACAGCTGAACCTACTTTGTTGTCAATTTTAGATGCATCGGTATATATTTCTTCATATGTTTCATACCTATGAAGTATTTCCTGGAAATGTTGAATGATTACTGGTCCAGGAGTTTCTGTCTTATTTATTTTCAGCAGTTCTTTATTGATATTTGGCTTATCTATAATCCACGGTGGAATGTTTGTGTTAGTTTCCGGTGCTATACCAGCAAGCTGGGAGATTCTAATATCCCTTAAATATCTAATGGTTCTCGTGAAGAATGACTTTCCGTGTACTGTATTGGTGTTGCTTGTACTTATATGTGCATTAGCCTGCATCATGTTCCTGTGGGCCGGTATATTTTTGTTAGATGAAAGTTTGGTGGTGTATGCTAAACTCAATATCTTTCTTCTGTCATTCAATGATAGTTCCCCAGATTCGCAATATAAACTTTGGATAGGTGTTGTCCTGAATGCTCCCAGTATCAAGCGAATTGCTCGGTGGTGTATACTATCCAGCGATTTGAGGGCCGTAGGACTAGCTGAAGCGTAAACTATGCTACCATAATCTAGTTTTGATCGTATTACTGATCGGTATATGCTCAAGAGTGTTTCACCCTCAGCTCCCCAGTGTCTGTTTGATAAGTATTTTAGAACGGTCATCCTTTTCTCGCACGATTTGACTAAGTATGCAATGTGCTTCTTCCATGTCAGCCGCTGGTCAAATATGAGTCCTAGAAATTTTATGTCGCATGCTTGTTCTAGTATTATATTATTTAGTTTTAATGGTGTTCCACCTTCAATTGTTTTTTTCGAGAATATGATGTACTTTGTCTTTTCTGGTGAAAATGTTAATCCGGAGCGTTCTGACCACTGTTCTAGATTTTGTATTGTTTTTTGCATCAGGTGAATATTGGTTGTTAGGTTTCTACCTCTTACAAATATTAACATGTCGTCCGCATATATTCGTACGTGAATTGGTTTTTCTATGTGATTCGATATATCGTTGACAGCAATTAGAAATAACGTTGGACTGATGATCGATCCTTGAGGAATACCGTTATCCTGTGATCTGGGCTTAGACAAAACTCCATTCGACCGGACTTGAAAACTTCGATCTTTCAGAAAATTGGAAATGAAGGCAATCATGTTCCCATCGTATCCCCATGATTGTAGTTTTGAGATTATATCTCTCCTCCATGTAGTATCAAATGCTTTTTTCATGTCGAAATATACTGCGAGGCAATGTTGCTTGTTGCTAAAAGCTTCGTGTATATGTGTATCAAGGTCGATGATATTATCTATAGTGGATCTATTTTGTCTGAATCCGGACTGCTCGTTTATTAGACGATTTCCTTTCTCTAAACTCCACAGCAGCCTTTTGTTTATTATTTTTTCTAGTAATTTACACATAGCACATGTTAAGGATATCGGTCGATATGATTCTGGTACGAGAGGTGATTTATTAGGCTTAAGTATAGGTATAGTGAATGCTTGACGCCATATATTTGGGAATAGGTGTTCAGTCCATATTTTATTATATATATTTAGTAGGTGTTGTTTTGCTGTTGCTGGGAGTTTTTTCAGAAATATGGAGGGTATATCATCAGGTCCTGCAGAAGTTTCTTTTAAGTCGTTAAGTGCTTCCTCCATTTCGTGCTCAGAAATTAATTTGTTCATTGGGTCTTGGTTGTTCTGGATTATTATTTGTGTTGCTTCTACGTTGGTCTTATGTATTAGAAATTCTTGATTGTAATTCTGGTTGCTAGAATTTTTATGGTAAGTTTTACTGAGTGCTTCAACTATTCTTCTGCTATCTGTATGTGTTATATTGTTTTCTTTTAAACATCTGATTGGAGAGTATGATGGGGCTCCAGCTACACTTTTTATTTTTTTCCAAACTGTCGCTAGAGGTGTTGAGCTATTTATACTGCCAACAAAATTCCTCCAGGAGTCTTTTTGATTCTTTTTTGTTGTTAGCTTAGCTTGTGCTCGTTTTTCTTTAAGTTCTATCAAATTTTCGATAGTTCTGTTTCTTTTAAACTTGTTTACTGCTTGCTTGGTTGCCTTGATTGCTGTATTACATTCTTCGTTCCACCATGGAACAGGAATTTTATTCATAACTGGTTTAGTTTTACCAATGCTGGTGTGTGCTGCATTTATAATAATATTATTGAACTCGTGTATTGTTTCATCAATGTTCTCTTTTATTTGAGTTTTGTGTAAATTGTGTTCTATATATTTCGAGAAGTGTATCCAGTCTGCTTTTTTCAGGTTCCACTTTTCAGGTAGTGTATCACTGTTCAATTCTCCTGGGTTAGATATGACTATAGGAAAATGGTCGCTTCCATACAGGTCATCTAATACGCTCCAGTTCAGACGGGTTACAAGATTTGTCGAGCTTAAGCTCAAATCTATTGCTGATGTTGTTCCAGTTCCTAGATCAAGTCTTGTTTCAGTACCATCGTTTAGCAAATTAAGATCTGTTGTATCCAAAATATCTTTTATTATTTTTCCTCGAGTATTGTTTCTTCTTGATCCCCAAGTGTGATGATGGGCGTTAAAGTCACCTTGGATAATTCGAGGTGATGGTACTTGTCGGAGAAGTGCCTCCAGTTCATTTGTATCTAGGTGATAATTGGGTGGAATGTATATATTGCAAATGCTAATATTCTGAGAGCCTTCTATTGTGACTGCGACTGCCTCTAGCTGAGTGTTAAGGTTTATGGGCTTGGCTACTATGCTACTTTTGATATAAATGGCAACACCTCCACTAGCTATATAATTAGAGCTATCATTGCGGTTCTTAAAGAATCCCCTGTAATGTTTTGGCGTGTGTGTTTTTGTTTCGTGGAATCGAGTTTCTTGTAAACAAATTATGTCAGGGTTTTGATCTGAGATGAGTTTATGTAACATGTTTAAATGGCTGTGGTATCCATTTAGATTCCATTGTAAAAGCGACCTAAGACCAATGAACATAGTATATAATTTAATATGTTGTGGAATCCATTGAAGAGGTGTCGCTGAGACATTCGTTAATGTTATTGTCAGTATATCGTTCTAGTTTTTTCCGTAGTCTAGTACATCTGTTTTTCACTGCTCTATCTGCTATGTGAGGGTACACCAGTAGTATCATTTCAATGAGCCCTTTAGTGTAATCTGTGTAGTCTTGGATTATGCTCATTATATTATGGGTTCCGTGAGTGTTTTCTAGGAGGCTTTTGAATTGGTCACTATTCAAGATAAAAGCAGGGGTTTGGGCATCTATGAATGTTTTAACGTCTTCATACGCCTCTTGAGAGATATATGACGGCTGACTATTTGTCTTTTGTTTCTTTATTCTTGTGTTTTTGGGTTTTGGAAATATAGGGGAATTTGTGAGGTCTGATGAGGGATCATGTATTGGTGTGGTCGGCGAAATTGCTTCTGAGAAATTTCGTTTGGAGGATGTGCTGGTTTGTGTATCCGTTTGGTTATTACAGGTTAAATCATGTAATGCAACTGTGTTTTGTTGTTCTGTTTGAATGGGTTTGATATGGCTTTGAACCTCTGCTTCTTGTGTGTTGGTTGTATATTGAGATGTTGCTGGTTCATGACTTGATGCTGTGGTTATTTGTTGCTCGTTTACTTGTTGAGTGTTTGCCGTTTCCAGTTGATTGGTAGACTGTGGTGGTGTTTCTATTATGTTTGTTTGCAGTTGGGTAGAAAATGGGCACTGGGAAGCTATATGTCCTTGTCTATTGCATTTGAAACACTTTTGGCTGTCTAATGATAGAAAAATGCGGTAGGTTATGTTATCATGCGTTATTTCTAGTGACTCTGGGAGATTTGCCGAATTTTGGTTGGGTTCAATATATACTTGTCTTCTAAAACTGAGTATATGGCTATACTCAGGCAATGGAGCTCCAATTCTCAAAAAAGTAAGTGGTGAGACTAGTTTCAGGCCAATTTGTAATAATTTTTCATTTATAACTGTGTGTGGGACTGTAGGACTCACATTCGAAATTACTAGTCGATCGGATGGTGTTATTAGTCTGCGTGCTTTTATGATCTCACCATTGAGTTCTATTTGTCCAGGATTTTCTAGAAATTTATCGACTATATGTTTACTTGCTAAGTATATACAAATTCTGTTATTCGAAATTCTAGAACAAAAAAGTATATTTTTAGGGCTGATTATTGGACCAAGTTTGAGTAAGTAGTCCTGCAGTCTAGTTCCATTACTAGAATTAAATATTATTGCTTGATCTTTATTTGGATATCTGAATGTATTTTGAGTCAGTACGTTGGAGTATGATTGAGCTGTTGTGACATTTTGGGATGCATTTTGGTGTTCAACGGATGCCATTATTGAATTTCTATAATCGCTCCAGGTGGCCGTCGTATCATTTCTCGAGACGGACCTGACTCCTCGAGACTATTTGTTTTGGAGAGTTTTTACTATGCTGTGCTGCACGAGTCTGCTGTACGGTTTATTATTTATTTCGATTCCTGATATAATTAATCAGATAAAGGTTGAGTATGTACTCACAGTGTGTCCGTATAGGCTTAAACTGTTGCACTGGTGCTGTTGCAGAAAAATTTCGTTTGATTTTCACTACTAAATTGTTAAAATTTGTAGAGGTTCGCTGTATAGCTAACTAGGCAATTTCGGTCAGGGCCGAACTCCTTCATTATATTTGATTCTATACACGTTGCGGTTTAGATTATAATACACCAAAAACTTACTAACAAAATAACGTATTTTTATGAAATAATAGCTGCCAGTTATTAAACCACAAACTAGCAACTCTAAGTCCGTAAATTATCTGAACCCCACCCAAATCAAGCCACCCAACCGGATCAAGTCGAAGTTTAACATTCTTACTTTCTTTTCTTAAAATAAAAAATTACTTTCTTCTGGTAAAAGCTGAACCAACCCAGCTTACAATATTCAAAACTACCCAAACTAGACACAAGTGATCGTAACGTGTAGAGTATCAAATGTAGCGAAATTTAGAAAACCGGAAATATCAAAATGCCATCCATCCCTCAGAGAAAGAAATAGACATTTGAGCAAACTCAACGAAATTTGAAAGGACACTGTCAGACAATGACTATGGTTGTTTGAAAGAAAATTACTCGCCATCCTACAAAACCTCAAATATATGCAAAAATAGCTAGTTGTGCACAGTTAGATTAGGATATCTCGGAAACTGGTACCAAATGATATACCACGGATTAAGATTCAGCACATCAAAAACCACATGAAGGTAGTCTCGCATCGGCGGGCCGTCGGCGATCTAGCTCTCTTCTACCGCTTCACCAACGGGCTTTGCTCCTCAGAGGTCTCTTACATGATGCCGCCGCGCTATGTACCTGCCAGACAGACCTGCCTGACTTTGGTATCCCATCCTAACAGTGTCGAACTTCGTACATCCAGAACTGGCCGATACGACCGCTCTTTTGTCCCGGAGGTATAGAGATTGTGAAATAATCTACAAAAGGAAGCTTTTCCCAGTTCTACTACCCTTACACAGTTAAAAAATCGGATGATTAAAATTTATTTGGGATCCTCATAGCAGCCGCGGTCTCGGCATTTAGGCTTCTGTCTGCGCGGCTTCTTCGGTATAAAAAAAATGCTTAATTTTGAATATTAAGTAATCTTGAAGCACATTCATGTACCTATCAGCATTCATAATGCCTTTAACGAAAAGTAAGTTTCCCATTCCATTTGCAGACATGAGTCTCCAAATCATAACAGAAGCCGGAAACTTAACTTCTCTTAAGACAGTCATTCTTTAGTTCTTCTTACACGACTCCTACTATCACCAACGCATACTTCAAATCTCTCTCCAGCACTCCAAATATTGGAGTTCCATTGGTTCGGAGACCATAATTTGTGTTCTTTGGCCCACGCTAGTCTGTTTTTCTTCTAAACCGTTGTCAGTAGGCCTCTTTTTTGCCTAGAAATACTGAATTAAAAACGAATAATAAAAAAATAATTTAAGTCTGCCTTGTAAGTTTTAAATCCTAGTTTTTGGGCAGCTTTCTGACAAGTTGCTCTTGAAAAATTTTTTGCGGTTGCCTGTTTCAATATTTTCAATTCGTTACAATTAAACACGAGCGACTTCCAGTTCTGGGTTTTTGAGCCACAGATCCTGTTGTTTTGTACAATCTAATAATATTTTGAACTGTCCATATCGATTCGTTAACCATTTTAGCGATTTGGGAAGCATTTTGGCCTTTTGAATGCAAGTGAATGGTGACCTTTGTTATTTCGTCAGAAACAGTTCTACCACGAGCCATTTTTAATTATTAACAACAACACCATTGAAAGTTGATTTAAACGACAAAAAAACAGCTTTTTAGCAACATAAAATGTTATTGTTTGTTTAACGAAGCCTACCTTTATTTTACCGAAGCAAATAAACTGACCATTCAACTTAAGTTGTCTCCATGTATTTTGATATACACAAATAAGACAATTTCAAAGTAAACCGCTTTAAAAATAGCCGTATCGGTTTTGTTGTCTTTACATAGACATTTAAAGAAATCAAGAATATTAGATTTGAAATAAAATTTTAATAAGCCCTCATATAAATTCACAAATATCGTGTTTTGGGGCGTTAGACCAACTTCACTCAGACAGGGCATAAGCCTCATCTACACTGAAAACCAATTTCCACTGGCATCGTAGTGCTGCCGAGAGAGAAGCTCGATAGGCATGCGATATTGTGCTTCTATCTCGTACATATTACGTCAGCCAAATTTGAATCTCACCGTATATGTAACGAAAGTAAAGTCACAAGCCACAAATTCAGTTATAGCCTTAGCTATTGTGTCGGAGCCACTATCAGAACTTCCATCAGTGGGAGGATAGTGTCCTTTACACTGTCATCTGAACTAAATCTTCGTTCTTCTTATCATTGAGATATCGAATGTTTTCGTCATCGACTAATTTCCGTTTGGCGCCCATCTTGGAACTTAAGTGCCTTATAGCTTTCTTGGCGTAATAATGTGTGGGATATCGTGGTTGTTCTAAAACGCCGTTTAGAAATTATAACCACGTATATCGATAGATACCTACGCCATGGATGCTTTTAGATAGAAATGTGGTTGTTATTCACACACCTTTTTGCGGCTTCGAGTTTTTACGCTATTTCATTTGGAATTAGTTCGTTAAATACTTCTGCTTCCTGTCAAGCAGTGAGAAAGATGCAACAAAAAGTAACAAACCAAACCCGAGTAACGTTATTATATGCAACCTTCATCTCGGATATTTAAACCTACCTCATGTTGGTTTGTCATCGTTTTATTTTTTCTTTCCAGTTTATTTTTTGTATGCTTGTGGTGCGTGGGAAACGATTCAGTAATGCACCGTGCATTGGTTTCAATCACGCGCAACGAGCTTAGTTGCCTTCCATGGTTCAGTCTCGGGCTCAGTTTAGGGATAACCTACCTGAGTTTTCTACATTCATTTGCTCACTGCATTAAATATAGGTACTGCTTAGACATAAAAATAGTATCGGTAAGGGAACAGGAATTAAAAACCAAACTTTAAGTAGCTAGCTTACACAAATAACTATCCTGTACCGAAGCATTCTACCTGAAAATAATACATGCCGACAAAAGTGAGCCGACCTTATTCAGAAACCAGACTACCTTCATTGTGGTTTTTGATGTGCTGAATCTTAATCCGTGGTATATCATTTGGTACCAGTTTCCGAGATATCCTAGTCTAACTGTGCACAACTAGCTATTTTTGCATATACATATTTGAGGTTTTGTAGCATGGCGAGTAATTTTTTTTCAAACAACCATAGTCATTGTCTGACAGTGTCCTTTCAAATTTCGTTGAGTTTGCTCAAATATCTATTTCTTTCTCTGAGGGATGGATGGCATTTTGATATTTCCGGTTTTCTAAATTTCGCTACATTTGATACTCTACACGTTACGATCACTTGTGTCTAGTTTGGGTAGTTTTGAATATTGTAAGCTGGGTTGGTTCAGCTTTTACCAGAAGAAAGTAATTTTTTATTTTAAGAAAAGAAAGTAAGAATGTTAAACTTCGACTTGATCCGGTTGGGTGGCTTGATTTGGGTGGGGTTCAGATAATTTACGGACTTAGAGTTGCTAGTTTGTGGTTTAATAACTGGCAGCTATTATTTCATAAAAATACGTTAATTTGTTAGTAAGTTTTTGGTGTATTATAATCTAAACCGCAACGTGTATAGAATCAAATATAATGAAATTCAGATAAATGGAAATTGCAAAGTGTCATGACTCAGCGATCGATAGATATTCAACTCAATGACATTTGAAAGGACAGTGCTTGTACTTTTAAATGATATTTTTGAAAAAAATGAGAAATAATGAATCATGATACATAACCCCGAATACAGGCAACAGCCGTCTTTAGGTTAGGATATTTCGGAAACTAGAGCCAATTCAGGGATTTTGGCAAGCGATTCAGATTCAGCGCATCAAGAAGTTTCGGAAAAGTATACTTTGGTATCTAGGTAAAAATCATGTTGGCCTGTGCACTCCATCGTCTATGGTACAGAAATCCACTGAGAAAAGAGAGATGTTCAACTACTGTTTCATAGATAGCGCTGGATCTTTAATCCCTTTTCAGAATTCTTCTATAATACGTATTTCATTCCGTTATCTTCAGGTAGAATATGTTAATTAAAGATGGAAGGAAGGGTAGTCATGAATAGTGCAATCTGTTTTATTGTGAAACTTGTATAAAGACTGCTTTAGACTACACAATTTCTTGTACAAGATTTGGTCCAATTTCTTGAATAAGACCTTGAACGAAAAATTGTTTACTGTCTAAAAAATGCTGTTTTACATTCAAACAATTTATTGTTCAAGAAATAGTTTGGCATTTTGCGTATTAAGATTCTGCCTGACAAGAATCCATCTGTAAATCTCAAAGTTGTCAGTGTCACTCACAAAGTGTCACCGAATTGTCAAAAATTGAAAACAAGAAGCGATTTTGAGTTGACAAAAATAATTCTGATTTCGGAAAGAAACATTGCCCTAGCAGGTACATCTTTGGGTGTGTATTTTGCAAAGTGGTGCACGGGCGAATTAAGAGACTCGCAAATAAACGAAATAATTGGCAAGAGAAGTGGCTGAAAAGAGACGAAGGCCGCGGAAAGTTGATTATGTTGAGAGAAGATCTATTTCTTGAGGACCCAAATTAATATAAAAACTTTTTGAGATTGGACAATTAATGTTTTAATAAATTGCTGCCTATGATTCTACCTGATATTGCAAAGCAAGATACACATTTAAGACAATGTAAATATAACTGCTGAAAATAGGCGATATTATCAGCATTGTGTCATGTGATTTTGATAGCTTTGCTTCTAGGTTAGCTGTGACACTGTGATATTTAGCTAGTGGTAAGTCATTTCGAGATCTGCATACATGTTACACGGGAGCATCATGTATCTTTACATAACTATTACACATTTCCCAAGTAGTACTGAAGAATGGAAAAGGTATCATGAGTTCTAGATCATGTGGCATTTCCCTTTGTGCTTGATGCCTTTCCACTGACTAATAGAACTATAAAGCCTTATCCTCAATATGGATTATCCAATGAAAAATGAATTTTTATCAATCGTCTATCAAGAGTAAGAAGAACTGTTGAAAATGCTTTTGGAATGTCAGTAAGATTTAGAATTCTCAGAGGAACAATACATTTAGATAGATAAAAAGTTAAGACAATAACACTGGCATGTTGTGTCCTGCATCATTTTCTCTCAACACATAGGAAGCATTATATAGAAGTGGATAATGAAAGCTGTAACTTAGATTATCTTTCTCAACAAGGAGGAACAAGATATGATTCTGAAGCTGTTGACATTAGGAACTTATTATGCAGGTATTTCAGTACTACTAGAGAAGTATCTTTTCAAAATAGGGCTATAGGAATTCAATAAAAACGTACATAGATTTTGTCTTCTTTTATTGCAGGTCTTAACAATTTTTGTATCTCTAAATAAACAACTCGCTTAATATCATCATTCGTGATTTTTTTTAATTGTGCTGTCTCAAACTGACCCATGAGATGATCTGCTGTGGCCGTGGCAGCAGTTTCGCTTTCCTGCAGAGCTACAGGCGGCCAAGGCTAGCAAAGTCATCTTTGAGCGTCTGAATTTTTTTCTTTTTTTCTTCATTCTTTTGGGTGTGCTGCTACCACTTCTTGCATATGGTGTTGCTCGAATGTCATTTGTGCATGGCCCTTATAGGATGTCAGGGTTTTCAGAAAGGCCACCTTCAGGTCTTGCTGTGATTGGTGATAAGATCCCGTCATCTTGCTCGCTGAACCTATACATCCTTAAATGAATATCAGTTATTACAATAATAAGATCGAGTCTTAGATAATATTTTCTTACCTGTTTAAAAAGAAAGCTGATATTAACTAACGAAAATCAAAAATTCACTACCCAACGACGACGCGCATAACCAAAAAAAAGTTGAGGTCACGATAAGTTGAACGTCTCTATCTCCCAATTTGTTACTTAACTATAGCACCAATATGGGTGCATTTTCGTAATTACTTTGTGCTTAATCATCTCAAGTTTCTTTGGGTTTGTAGTGATTTAGAAGTTACAGCGCTAGTAAGCATGATCTAATGCATTCAATAGAAATCGTCTGACAAAACATCTATGGCCGAAATCCCTCTATCCCTTATGGGCCACTAAATAGGTAGACTTTGGAGAAAGTAATTTTTTTTATAAGTTGAAATAGGTGTCATAATCCGGCTGGAGCATATGAATCTACTTTTCAAAACACGTGTGATCGAAACTCTAGAAAGTCATATGTGAAAAATAATGAAAACAGTTTAATATTGAGTTAAATTCTTAATCATTTTGCTTTCATGAAAATGTGTTGTACAGGTTACGAGAAATTAAGGGTAAAGGTACATGTAATGATATTTTCACTTATAATGGCTAAATTAACAACCTAAACGTATAAAGACTGCTATCCTTTTTTGTAGAGAATGATATATTTTATAAATTTTTTAAGATCGATGATTTTCAAGATTAGGAAGCAATGCAATTTAACCATAACACCAAACAAAATTACTGTCGCCCAAATTGTAGGATTTCCTGTTACCAAATCTCCCTATTTCTTGGCCTAGTATTTGTATATTACTTACTTGTATAGCACTCTTCCAGGTTCTTTATCATTTCTCAGTGATATTGCTGAACTGGCGATATAGTCAGACAAAACGCTATGGACCTAATATACTTATTTCTACTACATTGATTTATGTTACCACACTGCTGTTGCGGTTATTGTGAAAAATAGTATTTGATTGACCTCGGAGCTCTATTTAGCTGACCTATTTGAAATGAGTCGATACCCTAAATACTCCATACTATAAGAATTCTCACTTGTATTTTGCATAGATTACAAAACGTGATTCGTGATTATTTTGATGATATTACTGGCTCTTGCAGTCTGAATTCACTATTGCATACGACATATCTATAAATTACTCTTCTTCGTTTATTTCTGGCAGTTGTCACTAATTGAGCGCCCAATAATGCAATGTAGTTTGATGACCGATATCAAATAAGATGAACCTAATTAAACATCCAGTTCTACTCGAGGGGTAGATCGCACCCCGAAATCTGTACAATAACGGGAAATATTTCCCCGTAATTAATAAATGCCCAATAATTTCTCTTGTTTCAAATAATTCCTTTTAATGCACTATAATTCCCCCATAATTCTCTGTAATGTACAATAATTCCCCTAATCCCCCGTAATTCTTGCAAATTCTCTGAAATTCCTACCAGGAGTTACTGGGGATTGAATAAACTCTTTTGATGGCTGTCTGTATCATAAAAACTGTTTTATAGGTTTAGTTCAATCCTTCTAATTCATCTTTTTAGGTTCTAATGTATCTATGAATTGAAACACAGTCAAACCATAAATGTGTCTAATGATAAAAAATACAGCACAGTGCTAAATTAAAGTCGGTCATTGCATATAAAAATACTAAATGTCGATTCTTCGATTTGCACCACCTCGACTCGCCAGGTCTACCCAACGTATCATCGTCCAACATTATAGATAAATAACGATAAACGATCATTTCATCAAATCATCAAAAATCTTGCAATGTTCTTTGCTATGGTTATTACTTTTTCAATTATTTCTAATATATATCACATTTAATTAGGTATATTTTGTAACATCAGCTTCACTTTAAAGTATCCTATATCACAACATTACCACCCAAAATGCAACTCTGAAGTTATATAAAATAGCAAGCAGAGGGTTTCTTAAAGAAATGAAATATTTGCGATATGCGCTAAAGTATAGTTCAGCCCACTTCTCATTCTTCTGAAGGTGGTTGCTTATTAAATCCAACATATTTCCGTGTCCTCTTAAGAAAACAATCTTCTGTGGACATTGATAAAACAGAGGTCCATAAACATTCCGATAAACCTCTTGGTTAATTACATTTTTGAGTTTTGGCAAAAGATTCAATATGTTGGACATCGTTGCTTGACATCATCTTAATGTGACGGAGTTGGCAAAACTGGTTACAGCACAGATTTAGGTTACGGTCAGTTTCTCCAAAAAACTCTTTCCCTTTGGAATCCATCTGAAATATTATATGTATTAGTTATCAGAAATATTCTCAGCACGATAACTTACTATAATGAATTACATGACATAAAGCCCTAGAAACGAAGATACAGGTTAGGAACTAGACTAGGTTATCATCTATGTAAGGTTTTATTTAGCTTGTCTTGGTCTCACCATTATCAAATAACACATAACACTTTGATTGGTGACAAGCGAGGATAGAACTTACTAGATATAGTTTCGCAGACATAAATAGGGAAATAATGGAAGAAATCAGTATTTAGAAACAGGCATTTGCATGGGCGCTACCAGGAATTTTTCTCAGGAGGGCAATCATCGGCATAAGATAAGTTTTTGTGAAAGCGTACCAGCCAGCAAAACTTTTTTGAAGAGCGGGGGCCAACAGGCAACAGCTGAATTTCCTAATAATCCTGAAATTTATACCTAAAATTTTAAGGTTCAGCTAAATTCCCAAGGGAGGGCACGGTCCCCTTGAGGGCGACCATAGACATTTGGCTCATTTTGCATTTTCCTAGAACAATTAAGCAATTTTCATTATGGAGACTCAAAAAACGCCTTCAGCGCCTCTCATTATTCCCCATAATTCCCGATAATTTACCATAATTCACCGTAATTCTCTCTAATTCCCTTAATTAATCTCAATCTTGTTAATTTCCCGTAATTCCTAAAAACTATTGTTGTATTAACAACTAATTTCCAGCGAATGTCCCCTCGATTTTATTCGATGATCCAGTGCCACCAAGAAGTCATTTGTTTAAACTATATCATGTAACTGTTACAAATTCAAATACTTCTCCTACTTGAAGTTAAAATATCATTAGGTACATAAAAATAGAGGAGGTACCAGATATGACATGAGAATGCAGGGAGTTGACTCATGCGAGTAATTGGTTGCTCCTATAAATATCTCATATAATGTAGACGCGCTAGAAAAAATGCGTCCAAGAAGTTATCTAAGTGAGTGAGTACCACATAAATAGACTTAATTGCATTTCTCTGCACGATATACCATAGGCCATACGTTCGATGTGCCTTCTATGAAACAAAAAGTGAGACTAAAAGAATGTGCAAGAATTTCTGAGGGTTTTGATTATGTAGCGTGTATTTTTTTCAAAGACATAGCTGCTGGGAAAAAGCTAGGCGATTTGTTTAGGGATAAGTAGTAATTTTCTCTACGTATCCTGTACAAGGCCCGTATAAGACATAGCCTCGAATACTGCTCTCACGTCTGGGGTACTGCCGCTCCATTATATTGTTCATGCTCGATCGTACAATCAATCATAATTAATGACCTCTAAATAAAATTATAATAAAATTTAAGTTATTAACAGTAAAAAGCGTGGGGTGCATTTTACTAGAAGATCATAACTCTCCTCTCATAGATAGTTGCCAATAGAATGATTGTAACATTTAGGGCCAATTTCACCAACATTAATATTTGAGTGAGTTGGACCAGTAGGTCTCAAAGGACTCTGAATATCAGTGATTTCTATTGAAATATTGAATGAAATCGTGAAAATTCGACTGTGTTATAAACAAGACCACCTTTTGATTCCAACATGATGCTTTTGTACAGAAAAAACAGGACAACTTTCATGTTATAGGTTTACATTTAACAATCCGTTATCCCCCTCAGCGAATGGGAATACGGCAAATAATAGGTCGATTTTCTAGGTGTTAAATTTGGCAGCAGATTTGGACGTTTGTTAATGCATGGCACTCTCGAATTTACCAACTTCAATATACTGAAAGTTATCATTACATACCTGTTGAATAGTGTGGATTTGTCTGTATTTTGCAAGAAAATAGAATTTAAAATACATTCCATCCAATTCCTTATCTTCCTTTACGTCATAATAGTAATCATTTATTAATTTATGGGTTAACGAATTTCTTCAAAGCAATAAAAACATTATGTCCTCCCCATCCTAAAACACAGATAATATGTGTAAGACGCGTCAATCCCTACATCTCCTTGATGCATAATGCAATTACTATGGACATAGACAAAAAATTATGAAGAATGTTTCAGAAATAATGTCTTTTAAGTCCAAAAATCAAACAAACTAGTAATGTTTATTTTTTATGTTTTTGACTGGCGGCGATATCTATCTGTCACTCGCAGGGTTGCCAAGTCTAACGACGTTCACGTCCCGTGGTGGAGAGTGCGAAAAGAATCTTTTACACTTGCTGGTTTTGAATTCTTTTCGTGAAAATTTACTAGGTGTCATGATTATAAGCATCTTTGGTAGATTGTTCGATCCGGAATAGGAAAGATCTCCTATTTATGAAAATATTTTTGGTATCATCTAACCGTTGCAATCAGTGCACAAACACTGTGACATATGATTTATAGCATAACCCGCTGCACTATCAATACAAATTTAACACACAGGTCGCCTAGCCGTGGGGACGCAGTGTTCAGGATGAACATCACGGCAGCAACTGATGATCTGGGCATGTCTGCTAAGAACATATGAAGTGAAACTCGCTAACTTCACAAATTTGAAGA